AGCATAAAAATAATACTAATTATGCACCTATCGGATGGTTTCTAAGATGTATTCTTTAACTAAATAGAACAACTCTTAAACATATGGCTACTATTTCACTTATGATCTCCTTGATGTTTGAAATCTCCGAAGTCAAAAATGAAGAATTTGTGTCAACAAAGAGATCAACTCGATCTTTGCTTTGAGTATCATTTTTAGAAAAAGTAGTATGAGAGTCTTCACCTAATGAAATATATGGCAACACTCTTATTTCGATCTCTACTCAACTACAAAACTAGCCAACCCTTCATGTAGGTCCTACATGATATAATAAAGAATTAGTTAATAAAAAAACTAAAGAAAAATCAATAAAAAATGAACAAGGTAAATCTAGCTACTTTTTCTCCATCAAAGTGATTTGATACACTTCTATTTTCTTGTTCATAATCTAGAAGGACTCTTTCTCGCCTAGCTCTAAAATAAGAGCATGATTATAATTCTCAAAGGGCTTTTTTCTAGAAATAGGCACACCCTTACAAGTACGTCTAGGGGCAAATTATCGGCATAACAAATGGTGAACCACTTACACCTTTACTCCTTAACATGGTCTTATTTTCTAATGATCAACCCCTTCATATGGTTATCTTTCGGGAAAAAAAAGAGTGAAGAACCACTTCAACCTAGCTTACCCTCGTGTTTCTAGATATAAGGTAACACATTCTAAAGAGCTTAAGGATACACACAATTTGGTAAATTTTGTAAAATTAGGAAACAATGGTTATCGTTATCGCTTACTTGTTCGAATGAATCTAGTCGGCCTAAAATTGTAATATAAAAATATATCCCTCACAAACTTGATTAGTAGATATCTACAATCGAACATGAATATATACATAGAAGTGTGTATGTCATAATATCTCCGATTGGCTTTTAATAGTAGCTTAATAAACCTATCATTAACATGAAGGGCTTACGACTAAAGTCCGGGGCCAAACATCCTATTATATTTCACCGACTCTATTGGTTTCTATCCTAACTAGAAAAGTCATCATTAAACTAGTCTATAGGCATCCTAACAACCCAAGATAGAAGGTTCTCCTTTTTTTCCTTATTTGGGTATTTGATTATACCACTAATAACCGTCCCAAATCTAAATCTAATTATATATAAATTTTCTATCTCTTTTAAAATTTAAAGAAAAATATTAGTGGTTAATTTAGCTAAAATTTCTTCGATTGTTGGAAAACTTCAAAAAGTGGTAATGATGGTCATACTCTTTGTAAACTACCAAAAAAAATAACAAAAAGGTCTCCCAACACTTCAAATATCACACAAAAAGTGAGTTTAACCCCTACGAAAAAAATGCTTTAAACTTTTTCGAGTCTCTCATCTAAAAATGCACTTTTAAGAAATCTAATGAAAACAAAAAATGAAAACATCAAATATGGAAAAATGAAGTTAAAAAAGGAAGCTCAATTTTATATAGCCTTTTCTTAATCTTTCTTGCCACACTAGAAGATGACATTTTGCGTGGCACACTAAAACCAACACGTTTAGTTATATATGTGCATGTGTTACATCTACTTGGATGATATGGAAATATTAATGGCAAGTTGTTAAAATTTTGAATGCAAGTGACACGAGTGTGGTCTAAAGAATCTCATCGGGGCCAAAATTTTATCAAGTCATCTTAGCCAAGGAGTTTTTTTTCCTACATAAGCCAAATTTAGGTTTAGATTACCTTTTGGGTTTGGGTTTATCTTTAAAGTTATCCTTATCTTGTTGGGATAATTAACCTAAGTCAAATTTTGAATATAACAAGAAATCGAAATAGTTTGGTTTAAATACAACAACGAGTCTAAATAGTTTTAGAGTTCTTTATTTAATTTAGATAAGAAAGAAAAGTCATAAAAGAAAAATGAGACTAGAGTTTTATAGTTCATGCGAGATAAGTTTTATTTGGTCTTATCTCATCTTGTTGAGTGATTAAGAGGTCACAACCTCAACATCAAGACTTTAGTGTCAAGGTTGACATACCTAACTTTGAAGGAAGACTCAATTATGACGATTTTATTGATTGGATGCATATTGTTACGAGGGCCTTTGATTTCAAACAAGCTCTCGATGACAAAAAGGTAAAGCTTATTACTACCAAGCTAACAAATAATGCTTCTATGTGATGGGAGAAATTAAAGAGATGACGACTTCGAGAAGACAAGTAAAAAATCATTGCTTAAGATAAGATTAAGAAAGTTCTCAATCACAAGTATCTATCAAACTTCTATAAGCAAGATACTTATCTTAAATTTCATATCTTTAAGTAATGAACATTAAGCTCTAAAGCATATGTTGTAAAATTTGAACAACTAATCTTTAAATATGAAAAACCGTCTCATTGCACATCATCGATTGAGGGTCGCGACCTCATTAAATGAAATGAATTTAAGTCTTGGTGATGATTTTTTAAAAGAAATAATATATTTATGTTTGAAAATATCCAAAACTTCGATTTAGATGATTTAGATATAAGATTCAAAATGAGTCATAATATTTATTGCTCATGTCAAGTTAATCATTATACTTACCACCTATTTATGTAAAAAAAAATAAAAAATAAAAAATAATCATGATTGAGCCATCTCATTGTTAATTTAAGATGACATTATAGTAAATAATGAAAGTAATTTATCACATGTTAATTGTGTCTCCATAAATAAAAATGTTTTTTTTTCACATGTTGATTTTGTCTCTATAATTTATCATCTTTTACAATGGACATTAATTTTCTTTATATATCTTAATTAATTACTAATTATCAAAATGAGAAAATTTAATTATCTAATCATTAATTAATTTTCTTTACCTATCTTAATTAAAGGAGGGTGGAAAAAATCTAGTAAATTCCAAACCACGGAAAACATTAACTTATTTTAAATAACACCAATTTCAATATGTGGCGTTTTTTTATTATCCATGTTAATCAGATTTTAGATCAAGATTCAAAGTGCTCAATTAATTGCCAAAAAGAGGGCTGAGATATGTTTCTTCTTTTATCCATAATAAAAATATCATCGAATTAGTTTGTTCATCAAGTAAAATTAATTTTTTAAAATAATTTTTAAAATATATTATTATATTGATGACTTTGTATCTTAAAAAACGACTTTCTTGAGTTGTTTTCATTACTATTTCTTGGAAGAAAAAAAAAAAAACTCTCCTTTTGGATTTACTTTAAAAGAAAAAAATTAAAAGGACAAAAGAGAAAGGATAAAAGCTTTCCTTTTGGTTCGCAATCTCATAATAAAGCACCTCACGTGACACCAACTCTCTTCCGCCACCATGCTAAATAATTTAATACCAGCATCATAAATGACATTAACGCCCCCACCTGACTCGCCGACGAATCGATCCGCGTCCCATCCCGAATGTCCCCATCAAAGACGCCCTTGTCGGTAGGCGGTAGCTATTCAGGATTCACAGAGATTTCGGCAACTTATTAAGGGTGTTATGGTCAATAAACAAATGTTGCCTGCTTCCATTTTAGCAAGCTGTCTCTACATAGGATTCCCTCTCGTTTCTTTCGTTTTCCTCCACATAAAAATATATCATCAAAATTATACTCTCATAAAAAATACTTTATATTTATATTTATCATTAAAAAGCTTCCTCTAAATAAAAATAATGTCATACAAGGTTCTATTAATATTAACCCTCTAATATTTAACAATTGATATGAACTACAAGGTTCTATTTATAACAAAAAAAATTATAATTTTGGTTTGATGTTATAAAAAATTTGAAAATAATTAATTTTTTATGAACATACATGTACACCTTAAACCATTATGAGTTAATGTTTTTTTTGATCAATAATTTTGACCAACACCATGAATTCCTCGTACCCAAACACATATGATAATCTCTCAAATTATCATGTGCTGATAACATTAAACAGTTTTTATTTTTTAATCAATGAGCATCTTTTATTTTATTATAATAATCTATTGTATATAAAGAAATTTACTTTTTTGTTTTTATAAATTTCAAATATTTTTGAGAAATAATAAATGTTTTTTTAATTTATTAGCAGTATAAGAAATTGTCTTGTATTGGATAGAGAAATTCCGACTAATTTACCGATCAGAAAATTATTATTGTTAATCGAAATTAATTGCCACTTGTAGAAAATTTAATTGATTTATGAAAAAAGCTAAAAATTGTTCTTAGGATACCCGTTAAGTATTGTCTATAAATAAGTGTTAACATATATGGTAGCAATATTTTTAGGTATTTACAATAAATTGTATAACTAAAAAAAGTGAAAATTACTATTTAAAAGAAAAGAAAAAATGTATTTCCATAATTAAAATGGATTAAAAAAACCAAGAAAGAAATCCTTTTTTTTTTTTCCTTCTTGTTTGCTTTTTAGTTTGACACATAAACCAGACATTCGGCTACAAACTCGAGCGACAACAGAACACTCTCTGTTTTTCTGTATTGTTTGTGTTTTTTCTTTTTGTTCAGCTCTTAAGATTTGAAACCTCAGAAGAACAACGGACAGATAGAACTAATAAAAAGGAAAGAGAAAGCAAAATCTACTGCAAAATTGCTACTAATAATAACAACATTGCCTTCTTTTTCGGTTGACAGAGAAAATTTCAGCCCTCCATAGGGGATTATAATAGGTAAGCAAACCCTTCCCCTGTTTATCTTCTCGAGAAAATCGAGGCTTCTTGTTTTTTAGGAATACATACAATCTAGAAAAGATTAAATTTTTCTTTCTTGGAGTGTCGTGTATTTAGACTTGTTGTCGTCAAATAATTCTCTCCAAGACAAAAAAATTTACTTCTACTACTAGTTTTTGTCAAATTTCTTTCTTTCTTTCTTTTTTGTTTATTTTCTTGTGTCTTTTCTTAGCAGATATGCCTGAAAAAGGAGATAACCATTCATGGCTTCTTCACCGTTCAAACTTTATGCTTCAATGGCGTCTTCACATACTCACAGCTTTTGTTTTCCTTGCCATGGTTGTTGTTTGGAGCATAGATGGAGGTACTATTAAAAGCATTGTCGAATCAAGAAGGTTCCCGACGCAATATTCGACCATGAAACCTTACACACAATACCCTCTCACAAATCTAACCGACCAACAGCAGCAGCAGCAGCAACAACAAACCCTTGAAAATTTCAATACAATTAAAAACAACGTCACCGCCGATACCCCATTAGCCCAAGAGACCAACAACAATAATGCCAGTGTCCCTCCTAGTTCTAACATAGTACTAAATCTCGACAAGAATGTTTCTTTTGCTCAGAATTATTCAGATGGAGTTTTGGAGAATCCAGCCCCGGGAAGGCATGAATCAGGTGGTAATGTGAATTGGGTATCAACTGAATTGGAGCCAAACTTGACTGCAAACCTTCTTTCAAGGTGGCAAGCTCCTGGAGGGGAGTCTTGTAGAGAGTCGCGCACAGTGGAGATTGTGATTCCTGGATTGGATGGTAAAGATTTGATTGAGTTGACAGCTGGTGATAGTCATGAATTTGGTTTTCAAGCGCTGGATGAATCCAACAATCTTGTTTGTTTAGGTGGAGATTATTTCGAGACTGATCTTTCAGGGGAGGCATGGAAATCAAGGCCTTTGATCACAGATTTTGGAAATGGGTCTTACTCTATTTTGCTTCAAGTTCATCCTGATTTTGCTGGTGATTATAGTCTTACTGTTATTTTGCTCTATAGGCATTTTGAAGGTCTTAAATTTTCACCATGGAGATTTGCTTTTGATAAACAATTGCGTAAGTTTCGAATCAAGTTTGTTAAAGGTCATACTCAATTGCCAAAGATCGAAACTTGTCAAAAATCTGATTTCATTAGAGATCTTTGGGTAGGAAGGTGGACTAGGCATGGTAAAAATGATGGCTGCCAAATTAGTAATGATGGCCGGTACCGCTGTCTGAAGCCAAATTTTCCATGCCAAAGTCCTTGGTGTAGTGGTTCTTTAGGGTTGTTAGAGAGTAATGGCTGGGTGTATTCAAGTCATTGTTCATTTGGGCTGTTTTCAGCTGATTCTGCTTGGAATTGCTTGAAGAATCGGTGGATTTTCTTTTGGGGTGATTCAAATCATGTTGATACTATTAGAAACATGCTCAATTTTGTGTTGGATTTGCCTCAAATACAATCAGTTCCTAGACGGTTTGATATGAACTTTTCCAATCCGAAAGATGCATCACAAACTCTTCGAATTACTAGCATTTTCAATGGTCATTGGAATGAGACACTGAATTATGAAGGATTTAATTCCTTGGCAAATGAAGGATTTAGGAATTTGTTGAAGAAGTACTTCTCAGAGGACACGGTACCAGACACTATAATCATGAATTCAGGTTTACATGATGGTGTGCATTGGCGTAATTTTAGATTATATACGGCAGGAGCAGACTATGCTGCATCATTCTGGAAAGAAGTTATGGATTCGGTGAGGCAGAGAGGGTTGGCAGTTCCACAGATCTTTTACCGGACAACTGTAGCCACTGGTGGGTATGCAAGGACTCTAGCATTTAATCCAAATAAGATGGAGGTATATAATTGGGTTGCGTTAGAGAAGTTTAGGCAAGCTGGGTTGCTTTCTGGTGTGATAGATAACTATGATATGACTTTTCCATGGCATTTTGACAATCGGTGCAATGATGGAGTGCATTATGGCAGAGGTCCAGCTAAGATGAGGTGGAGGGATGGTGAAATTGGCCACCAGTATTTTGTGGACCTCATGTTGGCTCATGTGCTGCTCAATGCCCTGTGTTCAAGATAGCAAGTGAAGGAGGTGGTTGATTTGTTATTTTGGCACTATCAACTGCAAGGAGCACCAGTTGCGAGCTTTTCGGAACTAGCCAGTGCAAGGAATTTCAGGCAGAGCTAAAAATTGCTGTTGATATGGGCTGTGTGGGCATTTTGAGGTAAATTCAAGAGTGATTTCACATGTTGGTTCACACTGCTCTTTCAGTTCGGATTGACATTCTTTATTTGTTTATATAGATGTGATGTTTACAAAGGTATATCATGAGAGGTGGTAAATTTTGAAAGACAATAACTATAGAATCTATTACCATGTTCTATTGTAATTATTACATAGATTTGATGGGAGTTCAGGGTTCTTTTATGAAGTTCAATCTCTTTGCTTTGCTGAAATCAGAAGTACCGGCATCCAAACTGACTGGGATGGTATAAGCTCATTATATGCATGAAATGTATTTTAAGTGAATTTGCTCTTGATTTAGCAGTTTTCAGCAAGTGACTTGCGCAAGCAATGTGCTTCATGCTAATTAAGCAACTGTTTTGTGCTCTGGATGTTGCCTCATAGCAGTTGATTTATAGGAACTTAGTGTTTAGGTAATGAAGGCCAAGTGCTTATTTATGTATATATTCTTTTTTATTGTTTTCATCTGCATATAATTCATTCCCAACTCGTTCTGGGATAGAAATTCATGAGTTAAATCTTAACAAAAATTTTCACTTTTGGAATGGTATTTTGTGTGTTTAGTTTTTATTTTCTACTGCATTGGTGGTGGTTCTTAATTTAGTACTGTTGCTATTAATGAAGATACCTATCGTCAAGATCTCAATTTTAAAGATAGGTAAGGTAAGAATTTTTTATGTTTTTGATCATGCTTATTCAGTGCATTCAGAGAATGTGCATTTGTTTCTAACATGTTAGTAAAGAAGTTCTGGATGCGTGTAGTTGGCTTGCTAGTAGGTTTTGGCTTTTGAGAGGTTGAAATATAGAGTGATTAAATATGTTCCAGAAGCCAATGAGCTTGTAGCTCCATTGGCATACATTCCCAATCCTCCATGAGGGCTTCGGTTCGAGTCTCTTCTTTGTAGCTAAACAAAGAGACTATAGGAATTTCAATCCATTCTAAGAACTGTAGATGGCATGTTCTTTGTTTTACATTTTTCTTCACTCTTGTTGAACATGTTTTAGGCAATGGAAAACAAATTCAAATTCTTAGGATTGGACTTCCAGTAAACTGTGTAGCATACATTTGATGAGGACTTAATTGGCAAAAGTACCTCCTTTTTACCTATTCTCCTTCATAGATACAAGTGAAAGTGTATTTAGAATACGATAACACACGGGAATGTGGCAAGCAACCTTTAATTTGTTTTCATTCAATTTGATCAGTGTATATGCTTTGAAAGACAACGGAATCGTCTATTTGGAAAAAAAAAAAAAATGAAAAAAAGAAAAGGAATAAGGAAAAGCAGAGAGAGACTTCTACTTGGATTGACTTGTTTAACATGCAACGACAAATAAAAATGACCATTATTACCTTATGTAATGGTTATTATATAATGATTTTGGAACACTATTATTATTATTATTATTTAGTGTTATATAACAGCTGTAATTGTTATTTTATTACTGCAGTAAACTACGATTCACAAGTGAAATTTTTTTCCAACGGCATCAACCATTTAAAATTATGTTCCAGTCTTTTATAGTTGAGTTGAACTTGGGGTTGTTTTGCTTGTTGCAGGCAATGTTATTCTAAAAGCTAACACAATGATTATTGTTTATACACATAAGTTGGAAGAGAACTGTACTTCCATTATTTAGCCTAAGATTCAGCTGACTTCCCAATTAACTGAAAAAATAAAAGATGTTTACTGTTCAGTTGCGCAGATTTGATGTCAAATAGCTGTCCTCAAAGTGTTGCTGTGGGCATGAGCAGTAAAGCCCCCAAAGTAGAAACGTGAAGATCCAGCGAGAGTTACCAACCAGGATGGTCCATGTACTTGCCCCTTCTGCAGTGGGCTCGAATTAGGCCCAAAGGTAAATGGAGACCAGTAGCTGGTCTGATTTGATCTGGGAACGAACAGCACACTAATCTTAAGACTGTTAGTTTACAGGAGTAGCATCGTTGACTAATAGGTAGTTAGAAACAGTTCAAACTTTTATGAAAATCGGTTTTGATTTTTTTTTTATTATTATTACTTTTCATTGAAATCATTTTATAAGTTTTCGTCAATTCTTCTTAACAACTAAAAATATACAAAAACTTATATATGTTTTACTTTTATCTTCTTAAATATTAAGAAATGAGCAATTAAAAAATAAATAAATTTTTGAAAAAAAATAAAAAATTCATAAGTTTTGTATATTTTTAACCGTTTTGATGATGAGTATTTTTATCATTAAAATTTGATGAAAGTCTAATTAAAAAATCAAATTTTAAGTAAAAAATAATTTGAGAGAAATCTCATCCGAAATTGGAAATTACAAAAAAAAATTCTTGAATGACTTACAATTAAAGAGAATTTAGACCATTTACCCAACATTAATTACTAATTGCATTATATGCAATCATGCATAGCATCGATTTTACTTAATGCTCAGGGTAAAAAAGTACCTAAACAAATAAAGAAGTTCAATAAAACTAATATAAATAAATAAATCACCACTACTGATATAATCAGAGGGAATACTGAAGTTACAGTCACGAGTAAATATTGGAGTCGACTGGCACAAAGCACACAAGAAATTTGCAAATCGCAATGCCAGCAAACTAGATTAATAAAAACTTTTAAAACATAGACTAGTTAGCAGCAAATCCGTTGTAGTCTAGTTGGTTAGGATACTCGGCTCTCACCCGAGAGACCCGGGTTCAAGTCCCGGCAACGGAATTCTTTTCGAGAAACCTCAGTTTAGTTCCTAATCTATCATACTCATACTCAATTGAGTCTTATATATCTATATATATCTTATCAATTGGATCTCAAAATTTTCAAAGCATTCACATCAAGCTCTTTTATCAATTTTTTTTTTGTTTTTTAGTCAAATTTTCTTTAAATTGACAGAATTTTAGTGCACAAAATATACACATTAGAATGAAAATATAAAACTTTCTATTAAATTTCTCAAATAAACAACGTTGTAAGAAATAAAATAAATATGTATATTGGATTTAAAATATTAACAAAATTGACAAACAGACTCAATTGAAAAATATACAAAATTTGGGACCTTAGTGAGAAAAAAAATATACATTTGGGATCTAATTAAGAACAAGTGGCAATTTCTATAGTTAGTTGCTTGAAATCATTATAATTTATATTAGTTAGTTGCTTCAATTTACAAACTATTAAATATTTTTATTTGCTATATGGTAATAATTTATCTTACCTCTTAATAACTTGTATAATTATTTATAATTATTCTAGTAACTAATATTATTGTACAATTATTAATTAAAAAATAGATTGTTAATTTCAAAAGAAAAATAAATATTATTAATTTTTTTATACATAAATTATTATGATATGTTAAATAAATTTGTTCAATGCATTGAAATTTTTTTTTAACTAATTACTCTGTAATTATTAAGTATAATTCTAATAAAAAATGTTGCTACCTCATAAAAGAAAAAAAGTACTATTTAAGCTGTAGAAACACTGTTTTTAAATGATTATGAATTATTATATCATAAATTTTGTTATTTCATAAACTTAAAGACGTTACAATTATAATGTTTTGAAGTAACCATAGCAAACTCTGAGAATAGTACATAAGGTTAGGACTAGAATGGAGTTTTCACTTTTCACTATTTCTATTTTTTATTTTATTTTTCAGGTCAATTGAGATGAGTCAGCGTGGCCGTGTATTATGGGCTTAAAAAATGAAAATCAATTAAATTAAATAAGGAAACATCGAAAACAAAAGCAAGGAACAGAAGAAGAAGAAGAAGCGGCTAGACATCAGAAAAGGAAAACAAACGCAAAAAGGTCCTTTGCTTTGTCAAACACTCCTCTATTTCCTTCGCTGGTAAGTATTATTATCAGCACAGAACAATTACAGAAAATTGCAAAATCTTCTGAGAAAATTGACTGTTTGGTGGTGTGAGTGAGAGAGTATGATTATAATATTTATTAATAATAGTAATGGGCTGAGTAAATAATAATAATAATAATAATAATAATATTAAAATCAAAACTTTATAAAAAAAAACCCACCTTCAGGTTCATTTTCTTGTAGTTACCCTAAAACGACAAGAAATCTGGCAAATCTTGGAGGATTGAGAGCCCGCTTGTCCTTGAAGCAAGCAATATCGGGTTGCCAAAACGACGACGAAGAGTGTCGCCCTTGGCGTCACAGGCTTTCCTCTTCTATGGCTGCTTTCACATGGGGTTCTCTTCTTAGGATCACTGTCTTTCTTCTCCTTATTGCCGCTGTTGTTTTCGCCCTCTTCACTCTCCCTGTTGAAAAGGTTCGATTGCTTCATCTGGTCTCTCTCAGTTTTACCTTTTTTTTTTTTTCTTTAAACTGATGTGTTTTTTTTTTTTCCTTCTTCTGTGTTGGATTTAGGATTTTTGTTTGATTCCTAGCAAATTGTTTCTTTTTTCCTCCTCTTCTTCTTCTTTTCTTGTTAGGGTTGTTTGGTGTTTTTAGTGAGGATGAAATGGTGGTTTTTTTGCTTGTCTCTTTATTGAATTTCTTTAAATTGAGCTTGTTCGACTGTGTTTCCGTGCAATGTAATCGTACCCTAGATTCATTTCCATGTAGGCATATATAATTTTGAACTGATTTTGGTGCTTTATTCAGTGTTTAAACTAATGGGACACCAGTTTTGTTGCGGGCTAATAGGAGATAAATGATGGTTGATTTAGCCAATGTTTATGAAAGTTTGTGTTCTGTTGTTATGGTTAAGGTTCGATATTGATTCAGATTAGTTTTGTTCGATATTGATTCAGATTAGTTTTTACTTAGTATGTAACTATAATTTAATCTCCGATCTTTCGTCTATGATCTCAGTGTGGTTGTTTATTTTGATTCCAGGTAAATGTGGTAAGGTTCATTGTCCTCCTCTAGTGAATAATTTGTATGTTTTTGACACTTTATTACACCCAAGTCTCACAGTAAGTGTCTATGCCCCATGATTGTCAAAGTAACTCTGGCTAGCACTTTTGACTGAAGACCTATGGGTGATGAACCTATGGTGTTACATTGTTTTGATAATGAATGAGTGCTTTATATTGAGTATGCTCGAATTTGTGTTTTGACTATAGGGCTTTTCCTTGCAGATTTTGAAGGACTTTTTGTTATGGGTTGAGCAGGATCTTGGGCCTTGGGGTCCTCTTGTACTGTAAGTCAATTTTATGTGCCCCATGTTCCTTGCAGTTTTGAATTTACTATAGATACTAATTGTTTTTCTTCTTGATTTCCTTAGCACACTGTTTATGGCCGTAAATAGTTCCGATACTTGTTCATTGAGAAACTCTTTGCCTCTTGATTTCTCAGCTTGATCGATCACTTATTTATGTTTACAAACCTTTTTTGTTATATATATATATATAACTCACACACTTAAGGCTCCTAACAGAACTAGTCTGCTAGGATTTGAACCCATGACCTCTTGCAAGAGACCACTACCACTGGGCTATAAGCTCTTTGGTTATAAACCTTTTTCGTTGTTGTCGAATTAAACTAGTTAGACAAGCAGAGTCATGCAGCACGTTGAAATCAATTGACCTTTCAGCTCACTTTATCTGGCAATTTGCAGGGCCGTTGCATATATTCCTCTAACAGTCTTGGCTGTCCCAGCATCAGTTCTTACTGTAAGGATTGATAACCTTTCTGGTGCTTTTGCCTCCTTAGTTATCTTTCCTTAACATCTTATTTATTTTATTATTTTTTATTTTACCTTATCTGCCCTTTGTTTGTTCTCCAACTTCCAATTCTTTATCATATTGTGTTTGGTCTCCCAATTCTTTGACTTTGATCTCTTTCCATCTGCATATCTTGAAGCAGTTGTGGAAGAAAATTTTACCTGTATACGCTTTTAGTTCTTTTGTAACTTGATCTCCATATTTCAGCTTGGTGGTGGATATCTTTTTGGGTTGCCTGTGGGCTTTGTTGCTGATTCTCTTGGTGCCACCATTGGTGCCGGGGCAGCATTTCTTCTAGGAAGAACAGTAAGTTATTAGACTCTTACAATGGTATATATTCACTAGTTCCAGCAGCATAATATGCATAGAAGGAGATGAAGAGTATCCTTTTGTTATTTATTCTTATGCTTACTCACTCATACGTTTGTTATTTATAGTATACCATTATCCATTAAAGGCTTGGGAAAAAAAGAAAAGAAACATACATTTCTTTTTATGTATTTTCATTCCCTTTTGGTGTTCTATTCTTATCAGCTAGAGTTGCAGTTTCTATGATACTGCAAGTGAGTGTTTAATTTATATCTTATTCTGGTGCATTCAGATTGGTAGATCTTTCGTTGTCTCCAAGTTGAAGGATTATCCAAAGTTTAGGTCAGTTGCAATTGCAATTCAGAAGTCTGGCTTCAAGGTTAGTGCACTTCATGTTTGATCCTCAAAACTCCAGTGATTTTGTTTCTACATATATTTACAAATTCCATGTTTTTCCTTTCCTATCCCTTAATTCTAATTTAGCTGTAACTCTTCTCTGAAATCTCTGAACTTCCATATTTTGTTGCACAGATTGTTCTGCTGCTTCGGCTTGTTCCTTTACTGCCTTTTAACATGCTGAATTACCTGCTGTCTGTCACTCCTGTTCCAGTAGGGGAATACATGCTGGCTTCCTGGATAGGAATGATGGTATGTCTGCTCATTCAGCAGTTCTTGGTGAATTTATCTCAATGCTGTGGTGTGATGCAAGATTTTTACTTATGAGATGCCAAATATGGATTTAGAGATGTTTATTTTCATGTAAACAAATTGAAAGATGGCATAGTTACTTGATGGACCTGTTTAGCTTAGTCTTGCTGTTGAAGTGATGTGGTCTCCACTTTGATTGGCCCCCATGTGGTATTAACTCTAAAGCATGTTTTGAAACGATTTTACATGGTATGTTGTGCACTGATGAAGACTGTTTGGTGTGAGGATTACTGACCAAAGGGAGGGAGTCCTCATCCCATAGAAGAATGGGTAACTTCTTATTATTATGGGCGGTACTCGATGACTTGTCTAAACAATATGTGCTTAATGCTTTCTTTAAGCTTAAGTAATGTTAAGTTTATGGACCAAACATTTCAATTGTTGGCTAGCTTGTCCATGTATATCCAGAAAACAAAGAAAATTTCGTGTTCAAAAAATGTGGAAATCTAAGTTTTTCTTTTGTTTTCAATTATTCTCCAGAGTTTGACTTATTATGTTAGCTCATGAGATATGCATGGAAGAATTTAATTGAGGAGGTAGACTGGTTAGAGTCATGTCACTGTATCTAATGCAGTATTCCTTGCAGCCAATAACACTTGCTTTAGTATACGTTGGAACAACTCTCAAGGATCTTTCTGATGTGACGCATGGGTGGAGTGAGTTTTCAACTACTCGTTGGGTAAGGACCTCTGTATTTTTCATATGTGCCTGAGGTTCCTATTAACTTTTTGAGTCATTTTCTGATATGTATGTCTACATGGTTTACTTCTCTCCCTGTTTTTAACCACTTGATCTGTAGTCTGATATATTTGTGGCTCTTTTACTGTGGATGTAGGTGCTTATTGGATTGGGCCTTGTTGTATCTGGTAAGTTGCAATGACATGCCAGCATGCTTCTTTACAGTGCTTTGTCTTTTTTTTCCCCCTTAGTGCCCATGGGGAGAGGTTTGAATGGTCATAAAAATTAATGTCCTGTTTAGTGAAAATGTCTTGTCAAGTGCCAATTATAATTACTCAGGATTCAGTTATTAATATTGGTCGTCTAGCCATTTTCTTTGAGATTTGAGAACAATTAGGAGATAATGGTACTCAGGAGTTGGCAATTTTCAATATAAATGAAATATGCAAAATAGTTTGAACAGTCATAAAAATTAATGTCCTGTTTAGTGAAAATGTCACCTCCAATTGTCAAGTTGCAATTATAATTATTCAGGATTCAGTTATTAATGTTGATCGTTTAGCCATTTTGTTCGAGATTTGAGAACAATTAGGAGATAATGGTACTCCAGAGTTGGCAATTTTCAACATAAATGAAATGTGCAAAATAGAAGTGGATACAGTGAATGATGCGTTTGTTGGGGCTTGTTTACTGAAAATTTCAACATTGTCTAGTGCCAATTATAGCTACTTGGGATTTGTTTAGCGAGTTGGATCCTACAGCAATGTGGTTAGACTTTGAGCTTTTGAGGACAATGAGGAAAAAATAGCAGTATAATTGAGTGGGAAAAACATAGTGCTTTGATGAGCTGATAAAGAAAATTTTGTGTGAAACAACAGCATAAAAAAGTAACAAAATGCCAAAAAGAAGTGCTCATGAAATTTTGTATGGAACTCTGCGTTCAAAACTATCCATTAGGTGTGAGTTAAACTTGGAAAATGACCACTGATTTTCTTTCAATTTTTGAAATTGGTCCATAGATTTAAGAATGTTAGATAGTTGCAGTGGGAGAAATTGAATGCAGCAACAACAACAAAGCCTTTTCCCTAACTAGATTGAGAGAAATTGAATAAGAATAAAACTAGGCATTGTGGCTATAGTACTGTACATTACTTCAAATTGAAGTCAAATGACAACTTTTGTTTGTCCTCTTGTCTTGCCTGAACTCTGACTGTGTTTACAACTCTCCCTTGTTTTTCTTGTCTTGCAGTGGTTCTAATGTTTTGTGTTACTAAAGTTGCCAAGTCTGCTTTGGATAAAGCTTTGGCCGAAAATGAGGATCTAGATTTCATTTTGGCTTCACCTCAATTACCTATTGCAGCGGATGCTCCTGCTAATCTGAACCAGCCTCTCATTATCAAGATAGACCCATCTGAAGACAGCCATGAAAATTGAAATTCATAACTTGTGTAAATTCTTTTTCTACCTCTTTTAACATTTGATAGTTCACCATATAGTGCATGTCATTTATTATCCGCTTATCTGTACAGTCCTATCTTTTACCAAAAAAAATTTCAGAAAAGAAGAAAAATGTAGGTTTCATAGAAGTGGTTGATCTGCACTTACAATATTGTTAAGTGAGAGCTTTGTTCTTCTCTAATGGGATTAAATAATTACCGAAGAATGAACGAAATCATTGTTTTTAATGTGTTTTACTGCATATTTGTATTGGCTATGTTTAATTTCTCGTGCATTTCCCCCTCCACTTTGCGTAATTGGTGGCGTTTTCAGTATTCATTCTCCTATAATTTGTAGCCATTGGGATCTGCAGAGCAGCATTAAGAAAAACTTTAGCTTAATGTAGCTCATAAGTAAAATGCCTATCCATCTTGGAAGGAGTTGATGGGTTGGAAACATACGCTTTCATAATGTATCTATTACGTGCAGTGTTCTATTATCGTCAAACATTGCAAACAATCGAATTTCCAAAAGGAAATCAAGACCATGCAAAGTCTGGAGCTCCTAGGATTATCATATCCTGTCAACTCTACACTGTTGGAGTTTAAATACGACAGTTATATATTGGTTTTTGCTTTTATTTGTGCTTAGTAATCCGGTTATAAGTGTTCTCGAAACTGTTTTCAAAAGTGCTTTTTATATTAAAAAGAATCAAATTAGATGTTTTTTGATAGTTTTAACATCTGCATGTCAAAACTATTAAAGAACACCTGATAAAGCATCAAATTGATGTTTTTACTATCTAAATGCATTTGAAAAACACTTGAAATGCTAGCGGTACGAATTGGAAGAGTTACCGCTTACCAGCAACACCCTTTAGATGAAGGATTTTAACATGTTATCTACAGGTGCCTTCTTGTGTGACCAAACAGTCTCAAACCAAACAATCGACTGAAAGCGGACAGAAACTTTACAGGTGCTTAAATAATGCGGTTGTTGGATATGATCCGTATTGTGGGTCAAGATAAAATCAAGTACTACCTGGAAGTTGTAGCATTTGGTGAACAGAAAGCACCATTGTTGACAGATAATGGGAACTACTGTTTGATAGTATAACTGGAGGTGAATTACAACTGTTTATGCATCAATTTGTATGGCCCTGACCAGCATGTTATTGATCAACTTGCTAAGCAGCTATGGTCCCCGTATTGTATGTTGAGATCCAAAATCACAGGTACACTTTGCACTTATTAAAGTGCTTTAGGGTTAGAAAAGTTTGTTTGTTCGAGACTTGAACAAGAGGAAATCCAAAAGCAAATCCAATGATGAAAGGTGAAGCAACATCATATGCAGCCTCGTTATGAAAAAATTTAAATGCATTGTGGGTACCATTGGCTCCCTTTCCCTTTCTTTTTGGTTTTACTTCCTCTAACAAACGAAAGAAAAGCCACATACTGGGAATTTTATAAGTTTCTTTGTTGCCATGTTTCACCTTTACCATTGTCTTCTTGTGTTCAACTTTGGGGGTGGTCTGGTCCTACCATTTCCTTGGTGAAAGGCTAGCATTTTCTCATGACAAATAAATTGTATCATCATGCTGCTCTCTCTCTATATGTATTTCTTCCTATCTTCTCTGTTCTAATACAATCAGGATCGTGTAAACAAAATACCTGCTCTTGGAGGGCCCCACAACCTAATTATCACAGCCATCCATTCTAGGCCAAAACTTTTTTTTTAAAAAAAAAAAAATACCCCATATGTTTTGGCATACTTTCTTATATATGAAGCACAAGCTTAGCTAAGTGAACGGTTCTCCAAATATATACATATACATTTTTTTTTCCAGATTTCATATATGACCAAACATTTTGAGTCCTTGAGAAGAAAACTGGCAGGTTTCAGCATCTTTCCTCTTGGGGGATGCATTGATGGTTGTCGAGATCATACACAGACGTCAGGATTTGGCAGCAGAGTCTGGAACCTGAGCGACAGGCCAATTGAGTTGCAAATTAGGGTTGGATCAATACAGAAAAAGGTGCATACATTGAAGCCAGGTTCTTCTAAAAGACTAAAATGCAAGAGCATATACAAGGCCTTCATGCCTGGTAGGAGTGGCAGTGGTAGTAATGGAGGCATGAAGAGCTTGCTGTATTACTTTGATGAAGCATGTCACCCTTACATCTGGGTGCATGACACTGGGGGTGATTTCTCTAGGATGGTCAAGCAGCAGTATATTAGCCTCGAGGACCTGAGGGATTTTTCTGAGATAAGAATTTTCAGAGATCACCAAAGAGGCTGCATATCGGTCCGCAAGAAACCTAGGCCTGATTTTTGCTGACTTTTCACAGAATTTATATAGTTCGTGTTGTGTGGTTAATGAAAATCAGAGCTTGTTTTCTTGTCCACAGCTTTAACATTAATTTCGACGTGTCTTGTTTTTGATTAATTGTGTGTCTTGAAGAATACAGATTGTGTTGTCACAGTAATCACTACATATATGTATGCTAAAGAATAAGAATATTAGTGTAGCCTCTCTTCTTGCTCCTTTAATTGGTTTATCCATACCATTCTGATATTAAATTATGTTCATCCTTGTGACTCTGTTGTTGATAACAATATCATGGAAGAGGAAGAAGTTTCAGGATATACGTGAGATGTTTCATTGGCTAACAACATTGAAAATTGACAGGTTTTATGTCACTTGTGTGACTGGCAAGTAGGGAATTCGAATGTCTACTTGTTTCTTCCTTCCTTAGAGAGAAGAATAAAGTCGGATACTGAGAGAAAAGGAAAGAGGAATATAACCGTCGATAGTGGAAGTTGAATTTGTCTTGCTGCAATATCTAGGGAATATCAGCTTACAAGTTCCTCAAAATTGATTGGTCATTAATTTCCTCAAAACATTGCCATTTGAGTAGGAAATGTCTCGAGTCAGTTTCAAGAGAAATTGTTATTTATTTATTTTTTTCAGAGGAAATGAAAAAAAAAAAAAGAAGCAGAATAATTAAAAAAAGTATAAATTTTTAGGTGAGATTTATAAATAGTTTTATATTAATTCTAATTAAAAAAAAAATACAATCACCGATATGGGGTGGTGATCAAGCAAAATTTTCATATTCCTTAGAAGAATAAAAGCAAAAACATGATGGGACATAATAGGCATGATAGCAAACAAGTGATTGGGGAATTGGGGGATGATGATGGGGTTGCTTTGCAATTAAGCAAATGCTGTCATTGGTCTTAATGTTGCCCTTACTTGTGTCATCAAATTCACTGTTAATTATGAACCTCAAATAGCTGAATTTATTTAATTTGAATTTTACGTTATGTTTAGGTTATGATCAAATAATCTTAAAACAAACAAATAGAGATTTTTAATTAAGGAAGACATTACATTACTTGGAAGATTAATGACCTATACGGCTCCACCTCTAGCACAGCTTTCCGGTGCCTACAGATATATATTGGTCCTCAAGGTTTAGTTTTGTTCGAATGCTCTTAATAATCCATCCTTTATATCAAAATGGTATATTTAAAGGAATTAATAAATTCTTTTGGACATTAATTTTTAAATTTGAACCCATAAAATTAAAAAAAAAACATATATACATTCTTAATCACTCAAGGTTTAAACCCAAAAAAATCAGGTAAAAAAAAATTCTTAATCATCAGCTCAACCTCTTAAGATTAATCAAATTGAATCAAATTTAGGAATTTTAATGAATATAACTAAACAAGTTTATTATTTAGCATTGCTAAGAATCAAGTCCACAAACTCTTAGTTTCTATCAAGCATTCACGGCCAATGATCTTGAGTACTTTTAATTTAATGAAATTATCTTAATTACCTTCAAAAAGAAAAGGAAAACAAAAGGTAGATCTCACTAATATGTCTTGACTTGCATGCAATTACTTGTTTTAAGTTGCCTTTTATTTCTTTTGATTTTTGAGAATTCATATATATTTTTTGCAAGCATCTAGATATTCTTGTCCTCATTCAATAATTTTAATTTAGAAAAAAAGTTCTCGTTCGCTGTTATAGCTCTGCTTACAGAACTTAATTTAGTTTTTAATCAATGATGATTGAAGTTCAAATCAACCAAAATCAATTTTAATTATATAAAAAAGAAAGTAAATAAAACGTATGTACTTTATATTTTTCCTTCATTGAAAAAATAATTATATATTTGTTTCTAGACCACCATATATGCCAAATCCTCGTGCATGAACCTTACACATGGGCCAAACACTTTTTTTTTTTTTCACTTCTTACTTTTAATTATTAAGTAATTATTTCTATAATCAATGTTGTCTCTAAATTTTGGTAGAAATTATCTACAATATGTTTTTAGGCTCTAGATTAAATATATATTTGAAATTATATCAATCTCATTTAAAAAATTATAAGAATCTATGGTGTAAATTGTATTGATATATTTAAAAGACAAAGAAATTAATCATGTTTTTTAAAAAATTATTCCAAAATCCAGACATAAAGAAAAGTTATTAATTTTTTTAATAAATAACATTTCCTAAATAAGGAAAAGGAAAAATTAATCTAATTATAAATTTTTAAAAGAAATTACAAATAAAATAATATATTTTAAATAATAAAATTAATATAACTTGAATATATATTTAGTCTAAAGCCTAAAAATATATCATAAATATTTATTTTTATCTACTTTATTATCTCTCTTTGTTCCTTTATTCTCCCTCTACATAAGGACCAAACCGTGATGTAAATAAAGTTAAAAATTAAAATAAAAATACTGAATAAAATAAGGAACGAAGTGGGAAATTGATCAAAAATTTTCTTCAAAACATCCAAAAAAAGCTTCTAAACTACAAAAATATCATCGAGAATAGTAAATGAATAGCATATTTAGCATATTTGGTGTCTGTTTTACCATAAGCCATCTTTTAGTTTTCTTATTAGTTATTAGTATAATTGTATGTTGTCCTGGGTAACCTTATTAAACCAATTTTAATATTTAATTAATTTTTAAAATCTAGGTGAACGAAATCAAAATCAATCAATATTAAATTTGATTTTTTTTTTTAATTTAGTATGCATTTTGTAATATTTAATACCATGAGTTTTTATTTTTAAGTTTAAATAATTTTATGAAAATATTTTATTTTCTTAAATAAAAAGAAAAAATACAATTAGTTTCTCATATCATGTAAAAATATAATTAGAAAAGTCAATAATTAAAAGAAGGTAATAATTGACATGGAAAGGGTTAAGCAATTTATAGCACAAAGGTGTTTAATTTTCGTTAATAAGTCCATAAATATTGATTAAAAAATTCCAAGATTCTTTATTTGATATTTATTTTTTGTTATTTTGTATTGACATAATTTTAAACATTTATTTCTATTCTTAATTATTTTTTACTATGTTTTTTTTAGTAGATTTCCTTTAAAAAACATGATTGTTTTGCTTTATACATATAGTCTTAAATAATTTTTTTTAATAGCCTAAAAAGCAAGTTTTAATTAATCAAAAATCTAATATATATATATATATATATATATATATATATAGTCTCTTTCATAGGATTTTATCAAAAATAAATAAATAAATAAAGCAATAATTAATGTAAAATTTTTTTTATATAAATAAATTTTTATCCCTATTTAATATTGTGAAGAAATTAATTTTTAAAAGTATGTACATTAGGTTTATATATAAATATAATCAATAATATTAGCATTAAAAAAATCTATTTGAAAAGTATGACACCATTAGATTTTTTTTTAAATAATTTTAATTATTTTATTTGAGAAAAATTGATTTCAAAATATAAAAAAATTAAAAGATAATTGTTTTGTTTGTATATGCATAGACACTAGGATTTGAACTGGAGAAAAAGGATTTGCAGTCCCCTTCCTTACCACTTCTTAATTTTCAATAAAAACTCTTATAAAATTAATTTTGATAAATTTTGATTATATAAAGAATAAATAAATAAAACATATAGATTCCATTTTTATCGTTCTTAACAAATATTTTTGCTTCTAAGCCATATATGCTTAGTCTTTACGCATAGGCCTCGCAAGTATAACGATATATATATTTTTTACTTCTTACTTTTAATTATCAATTAATTTTTTTAAAATTTGTATTCTTTAAAATTGGACAGAAATTTTTTGCAATACGCTTTCAATTTTTAAATTAGACATGTATATTTAGAATCATGATAGTTTCATTTAAAAATTATAAGAATTCTACCCTATAATGACTTCTCGTTCATAAAGGTATATGATATTGGTTCGAAATATAGAGTCATCACTTAAATTTTTTAAGGTTAAAACTAAGAAAAAACTAAAAAAACAAAATATCCTCGAAGTTCTAACTAAAGAAGTTGGTTACACAACTAGAAAAGACTATAGTCACTCTAGTGTACCCTCGCAATAAAGTTATCTTGTATTTTTAGCTTATGAGAATTCATTTATGCAAGTCTATTTTGGTATCCTCTTTTCTTTTCTTTTTTTAATCTTAAATTGTGAGTTAATTAATGAGTCTATTCTAACCAATCATAGATGAAATGATTTGGTGATAGTTTAAAAAAGACAAAATTAGTGGGACTGAAAAAATAAAATAAACATAAATAAAAAATGAAAACAACAAAAATAAAATATAATAATAAGAAGAAAAAGAAAAGGCCTCGTCATTAGAATAAAATTAGTCTTAGATCCTAAACCTATATATCTAGACTAATATCGTATCAAATAACTATGTCAAATAAAAAACGAGCAAATTAGACGTGCGAGGAGCGTAAATCACATAGAGACTACCACATAGGACATAAAATAGTCATAAAATCTTTGGTCTATTGATTTGTAATTGTTTATTTTAATTTTCTCACTATAAATAAAATGTTAGTCTATTTTTAGTTTCATCATTGACCAAAACTTCATTAGAAACTTCTTTTAAGAAAAAAATTATAATATTATATAGTCAATCACCCTTAGCCTTTAATTAAAAATAAAATAATAAGTAAACAAAAATTATGATAGACCCTAAAAAAGTGCTAAATGCCTCAAAGACCAATCGGATCAAATTTTAAACACACATGAAGATCACATGCACCGTATTCGAGTCGTTTAAAATATATAAAATAAAATCAAAGATCCCAAATTCAATTACTTTCAATATAATCTGACTCAATTAGTTCAATTTTAATAAACCATTCAAATTTACCATTAATCACGTAAAGACTAGTGAAATAATATATAAAAAAGAAATTGTTATGCATCATATAAAATTTGGATGAAATTAATTAAGAATTAAAAGATTAGGGGCCTAATATCACAATCACAAAACAGGGA